CCATCACTTGGCTGGCTATGTCCCTGACATCCTGATCCCGGCCTATCTCAGCTTCCCCTTGCTTCCCCATGCTGCAGACACTCTTCCACTGCAAGAAGAAGCTATGATCAGTGGTGGGAGAGGGACAGGACCTGCTGACATGTCAAACACATCGTCCAGCAAAGCTGTGCTTGCTGTACTGGGCTCTCATCTCACACTGAGCTCTGTCCTCCAGCTCCCTGAACTCCGTGCCCAGAAAATGCTCAGCATGGCAGCTTCCACGCAAGGCATGAGAATGGGGTGCTCCCCACCCAACTTCACTCTGCATGGGGCTGTGTGGTCCTGGGGTTCAAGCGCCAGTACCTTGGCATGGATGGCATCCAGTAGGGCATCTGCTTGCTGCAGGAAGGCAGCAACCTCCAGGGCCAGCTGCAGAGCCTCGTGGTGCTCCTTTAAAGTCCCCTGCAGCCGCAGCCACCTGCACAGATGAGAAGGCAGAAGTGAAGGGTGATCTGTGTCACGGCGCTGGTTGCACCAGCAGGAAGTCCAACTCTGCCCCACACAGCCCACACTGCCTCTGCTCACATCTTATTGAGGTGCTTGCGCCGGGCAGAGATGCTCCTGCTCTCACTTTTGCCATGTTTCTCTAGCTTCTGGGCCAGGCTGTTAAGCTCATCATGCAGGTTCTGGAACTGCTGCTCCTCCTGCTCATACAGAGACAGAAAGAAGAGACAGAGGTGTGAGGCCTCACTTGCAAGCTGGAAGGCAGAGATGGAGTGGGCTGTGAGGCTGAACTCCCCCAAAATCAACCTCCAGCAGCCTCTTACCTGCTTCAAGTCGAGGATGCGGCGGGTGAGCTGGATCTTGTCCGGGCTCTCCTGCAAGAGTGCTTCCAGGGATGGCTTCTCCTCCTGGGACAGGGGAGGCGGTGAGCAGGCAGGGACACAGCTGGCGTCCCCCCCCAGAGCATGCTTCCCACAGCCCGCACCTTGCTCCGCATCCAGGCCTCCAGCCGCTCTGCCTTCCTGCCAAAGTCCTGCAGACTGCGCAGCCCACCCAGGGCCCGGCTCTGGCTGGCAGCTGTCTGTCTCAGGAGCTGCCACTGTTCCCGCAGGGCCAGCAGCTGCCTCCGCACCGCCTCAGCACAGGGGCTCGGCCCACACATCAGCTGCTCACCCATCTGCAGGGCCATACTCAGCACCAGGGGCTCCCGGGGCTGTGCCCTATCACGAAAGCCTTGGGCAGGGGGGGAGCTCACCTGGTTGAGCTTTATCAATGTGTTCTCGAAGTCCTTCATCTCCCTCTGCAGGGTCTGAGCTGCCTGTTCCCAGTCCTGGAGGTCGCAGCCATCCTTCAGGTCCCGCAGCTTGCCTCGCACCCAGCCTTCTGCCTGCAGCATAGGAAGAGCTGTGTGTGCAAATGCCTCTAACAGAGCACATAGACTCAACCCACCCTGGCACAATGGGGCAGGATGGCGAGCAGCCGCCTTCCCTGCCTGCTCCATCCCAGCGGGAGCAGCTCCTCGCCCCCACTCCCTCTTTGCTGCCCGTTCCCATGCTGCTGGGGAGGGAACAGATGAGGAGGAAGGCGGGAAGGCGCCCGCACACGTGGGGAGGAAGCAGGGCCCGCTGCGGGCTGACCCCCTCTCCCGGGGCTGACAGCCAGGCGGAGGCGGCCAAGCATGATCTCACGCCGCAACAATGGCTCTGCTCGAGGCCGCTGCGCAGCTCTTCCCGCCCCACCGCCCGCACGGAGGGCAGCCGGCCCCAACCCACGCCCCGCCGGGCTCACCTGCAGCACCTCCCGGTTGAATTGGGCGAGCGGGGGGCTCGGCTCAGGCAGATCCGGGGGTCCCACGGCAATCTGCCCGCTGCTTCTTGCTGCCGCCAGCTCCTTGCTCCTGGGGCTCTCCCTGTGGGGTGCTGCTGGGGGGGCTCCCACCAGCTGGAGAGTGGGGGGGAGGAGGAATCAGCATGCTGCCCAGGGCCCTCCACGCCACCTCCAGGACAGGCACGTGGTTTGGAAGCCTGGCTCAGCTTCGTGGGCCTGCCTCGACCCTCAGTCCACTGCCCTGCCAACATGTTTGGAGCGCTCTTGGCCCGTTCCCAGACCTCGGTCGCGGGCACCACGCTCATGGCTCCTCTAGCATGTGCCCACAGCATGGTGACACACAGCATGGTGCTCCTGAGTCACCCCATGGAGGATGGAAGGGCACAAAGCGACCCAAGGAGACCCCTGCTCCTGTTGAAGGGAGAAACATAGCTTCTCCCTGGGGCCCGGCGCTGACGAAACACACTGTCAAGGCTCCAGCTCTGCCGGGGGCCATGGCGAAGGTCAGCCAGCACGAGGGGCTGGCCCCACTCCAAGCACGGCCCTGGGACCAGCTGCACAGAGCTGGGGGGAGTGCGGCCACCCGGAGCTCATTCCCAGCATGGCGGCTGGGCTCCACCGCCCCCAGGGACAGTGCTACACCGAACCCTGTCACAGCTGAGCCCGGGCACAGCGAGGAGCACCAAGCCAGCCCAGGCTGGAGCTGATTTCACTTCATGCCAGGTCCGGCCACGCCAGCCTCCAGCTCGCCCCAGGCATGGAGGAGATGCAGGGATCTGCACTCCACAGCCGGCTTCCCAGGTGGCACGAGGCAGTGGCCCTCCAAGGATCCAGTGGTCCTGCTGGCTGGCACCTCCTGGGAGCGGGGCTGTGAGGCTGGGCAGTGGCTGCAGGCTCCTAAGCACTGTGGCATGTGCTGCCCTGCTGATGACATGGGAGCTGCATTTCAAAGTCTTTCTGCCTAACCACAAGAACTACAGAAGTACTTTCTTTTTTTTCCTCTTTCTTTTTTTTTTTTTTTTTTTTCAAATAGCAGCACAAATTCTCAGGCCCTTCTGCAACTCTGATATCTTCAGCCTCTGCACACAGCAGCAGTCCATAGCCCACTGCCTCCCTCTGGGACCCACAAACCCAGAGCCAGCCCCACTGTGCCCACTAGCCCCATGCATGCTCCAAGGCTCCCTTCGCCTCATTTCTGAGCAGACTCCTTGGCAGCAAACCCACAGCCCCTTCTGTCAGCCCCAAACCATGCCTGTGGCTGGGATGCTCAGGATACGTACCATACCAAAAGGGGAACCTCTGTCCACGGGAGAGCAGAAACCACCGGACCGCGGGCTGCCAGCCTCATGCTTCTCATCCTCAGCATCCACATCCTTCCTGAGAAAGACCTAGAGGAGGGCCAGGCAGGTCCCCATCAGCATCTCAGTGGTCTCAGCATCTTGTGCCAGCCACTCCCTGCCTAGGCAGGGATGTACTGACTGCAGGCATCCTTCTCCCGCACAGCATAGCAGGGCAGGAAAAGCACAAGCCCACCGGGAGCTGCCACGCCTGGTGGTCCGGGAGATGAGGACTGAAATGGGGCTAACTCACAGGGAAGGGCCGCCGCGGGACAGAGAGGTCACGGGTGTGAGCGGGAGAGGCAGGGGAAGGGAGCCCGGGAGCCGTGGGTAGGTATGAAGAGAAGCACGGAGAGGAGCTCCAGTGAGCTGCTGTGTTCCTGCCCCGGCGCTGCTGCCCGTCCCACAGGGAGCCGCTCCATCCTTCCACCCGCACGCCGCATCCCTGCACAGCCGACCCCCGCTCTCAGCCTCACACCCCCGCGCCGTGCGGACAGGAAGGGCCGCTCCCGACCGCGCACCGCGCCGAGCACATGGCGCTGCCTTATATGAGCGCGGGGAGCCCTCGGCCGCTGCCCGGAGCTGTACGCGTGCCGGAGGGAGCGGCGCGGCTCCGCCTGGCCTTTATTGGCAATGCAGAGAGCGGCTGGCAGAGCGCTGCGCGGTCCTCTCGGCGCTGTCCCGCCGCGAAGCAGCCGCCGCGGGCCGCCTTCACACGGCAGCGGGATCCCCGTCCCCGCACGCGGGGGTCTCGGCGCCGCCGGGTCGGGGTAGGAGGGCGGCCGCCAGGCTCCGTCCCGCTCCCGGCGAGGGCAGCGGCCTCCGTGAGTCACTTCCCTTCTCCCGGCCTCGGTTTCCCCTCTGGTCAAAGCGGGGGGGCGAGTTCCCGGCTCTCCGCACGCGGCCGCATCCCAAGGGCCGAGCCCCGCTCCTTCCGCAGCCCCGGCGAAAGCCCGGACCCCAGCGGCCCCGGAACCCCGAGCCCTCCAGAAGCGCAGGAAGGCGCAGCAGCCGTCCCGGCAGCCCCGGGGCGCGCCGCAACCCCGGGACCCGGCGCCTCGCCCGCTTACCTTGACGTGCGCCGTCCCCGCGCCGCTGTTGTTGTTGTTGTGGTTCTTCTCGCCGCCGGCCCGGGCGGGGTCCCGTTGTGCCCCCGCGTCCCCCCCGTGCCAGTTGGACAGCGTGATCCTCTTGATGGAGCGCCCCAGGGCGCCGCGGCTCACCCTCTCCTCCTCGCCTGGGCCGCTGCCGGTGCCGCGGGGCTGCTCGCGGGGGCCGGCCCGCGCCTGGGCCAGATACAGGGAGATGCGCTGCTCCAGGCCGGCACGGAGCCCGCGGCGGCCGTCCAGCGCGGAGGCGAGGGCGATGCCGGGGCAGGAGTCGGCGGAGAACTCGGCGGCGCACTTGGGCAGCGAGAGCTTGGTGCTGATGGTGAAGGGCTGCACCTTCCTCGCCGTGCTGCCCGACATCCTCCCGCTGCCCGCCGCCGGGGAGAGGCTCCGGGACGGGCGGGCGGCCGGGGGGGAGCGCGGGCCCGAAGCGGCGGCGCGGCTCCCCCGTTCGCCGTCCCCGGCCGGCTCCTTCCCCGGCACGGGCGCGGCGGTGCCGGGGCGGGCGGCGCGGCGACGGGGCCGCCCCTTCCCGCGGGGGCTCTCAGCGGGGCGGCCCCGCGGCGGGGGGCGGCGGCGCGGGGGGCGGTGGCGCGGCGGCCATGGCCGGGGCGGCCTCTGCCGCCGGCCGCTCCGCCGGCCCCTCCGCCCCCGCCGGGGCGCGTCCCCTCCTCCGGGCCGGGCCCTCCTCCCGCGGCGGGCAGGGCAGGGCGAGGCGAGGCGCGGCGAGGCGGTCGGAGAGCTCTCGGTCCGGGCGACCTCAGGCGTCCGCCTTCTTGTGAAGGTTGAGGATGCAGAGCAGGCAGGTGAGCAGTGCCTGGCGGCTCTCCCGGGAGCGCAGCCGGCGCCCCAGGCGGCGGAGCGGCGGCAGGAGGCGCTTGCGGGCCAGCTGCAGCAGGCGGGCGAGCAGGACGCGCAGCAGCGGGGCGGCCAGCGGCACGACGGGCATCGCGGCCCCCGCGGAGCTCCGGCGGCGGCGGCGACCCCGGGCGCAGCGGCGCCGGGACGGGAGCAGGTGGGAGCCGAAGCTCAGCGCTGGGACCGTCCGCCGGGGCCGCTTCCTCCCGGCCGCTCTCAGCGCCCTGGCGGTCCCTCCTCCCTCGGACGACGCTCGCGAGGAGCCCGTCCCGTTCAGCCCCACGTGCGCCGCGGCCACCCCGAATGGCAGGGGCTTCCAAATGGCACGGGCGTCCGGGCGGAGAGGAACGCCAAATAAAAACCGAAAAGCAGCTGCCAGTTTAAATGCCCCCTCCTCCCACACGCCTTCTGTAAGCGATACGGTCCCGACCCATCTGTTGGTGGCGGTGCTGGGAAGGAGGGGGCAAGGGAGGACCGACACCTGCCCTGGGCACGGTGCGGGCTGCGGGACGGCGCCTGGCTCGTGCTCTGAGGCTCCTAAGCAGGCGGGCCCAAAATACTCCTCTGTGTCACTTCGTGCAGCCGACTGCCACCCAAGGGACGGGAGTGTACACACACGGGGCAGGGAAACACCGAGGGATGGGGATGCCAGTGGGGAAGGGGCTTTCTATTGGGTTCAGCTGGCCAAGGGCAGTAGCGTGGGGCTACTGCGGGCTGGGGGAGCGTGGGCAGGAAGTCCCGTGGTACACCTCTGTGCCCCTCCACTTCCCCCTGCATCCAACCTTTGTTGTGCTCCCGGTGGCTGTTTGGCCGTGTTTCCTCCCCTTGTTCCCCTCTAAAGCCCTGCCAGGAGGTTGCTCTTGGCCTGAGCAGAACTTTCAAAAATAAACAAGGGTCTGAAAGCGCCTGCTCTCTTTCCCCATCTTAGCTCACTTGGCACAAGCTGCCCTTCATCCAGAGAGCCCATTCGGGTAGCCCAGCTGAGGTGACCTTTCCCAGCCCTGCAAATCCCTCCTGGGGAGCCAGGGATGGATGAGGGAAAGAGCCAGCCTCAGTGTGGAGCTGCCACATGCCTTGGTAGGAAGCAAATCTGGGAGCTGAGGGACATCCGTGTTGTCAGCCTTAATACCAGCCTCATATCAGCCCTAGGACCAGCTTGGGCTGGAGGGCTCTCATCCTATGCTGCCTGCATCCCTGAAGTAAAGGAGAGGCTTTGTGCTTCCTTAGCAGTGAGTGGGTTCCCTTTTACTGGGGAGACAGCAGCAGTCTGGAGTGAGGCTTTGGGTTTTGCTGCTCTAACCCTGGGCTGGGTAGGTCATTTCCTCTCTCCCTGCCTCGATTTCCCCAGCAGGCACCAATTGTGATGGATGAGAATGGAGATTTTACTCCCCATGGAGCTTTACCTATTGCTGTGAAAAAGTACTGAGCAGAAGGGGCCAAGATTCAGTCCCTGTAATCCCAGGAGAAAGGAAGGCACCAGCCATTCACAGAGGTGATGCACTGCCTGTCTGTTAGCACTCCGTGGGCCTCAGATGGGAAATGGAAAATCCCTCGGGAACAATGGGACTGCAGTGAGCACTTGCTGCAGAGCCTGCTCTATCCCGAGGCACAAGCAGAGAGCAGAAGAAGCAGTGGCTGCGCTGCCAAAGCCAGTGACTTGCACCACCATTGCCTCCACCTCACATGGGGCAGTAGCTGTTTGCTAGGCTGCTGTGTTGTGCCAATAACGCAGAGAGGTGCTGAGCCCCTTTCCCCAGCTGCAAGTTCAGGGCCTTCAGCCTTCGGGCAAAAGCACAGCCCAGAACGGTGGAGGGAGTTAACCCTGATCCTGGGACGAGTGACACATCCCACGTCCCCTGCCCTTGCGGGCTGGCAGCAAGGCAGAGTGCTCTGCTGCCAGCTTTGGGGACAAAGCCCCAGGACCTAGAAAGCCCAGCATGGCTGCCAGCTGTGCTGGCCAGGAGGGCCCTGGGGAGCACCCATGACAGCAGAGCACGGCTCGGCGCAAGAGGAATGCCGGCCATTTCTGCTGGGGTGGAAGGCGAGCGCTATAAATAGTTTGTTTAACTCACTGCATCCAGGCCCTGAAAGGCTCCAGCCCGCATGCATTCCCCTTTTCTTTGCACTGTTGAAAAAGGCCAAATCCTCTTGCTTGGGGTCAGACCCACATTGTCCCTCGGGCTCTCCGAGGACATACTGGCTTTCTGGGGTGTCTCTCCTCACCCGGCACTGGCTGCAGGATGCTGCTGGTACCCAGCTGCTGGTGTAGGGGAGCAGGAAAGGGACTGCCCCCCCAGGCCTCTGCTCACACAAAGGTAGCTTTTGCCCACAGGACTAATATTCCTGCTGCTGAGGGACGGGGCATCCAAGGGGGAGATGGAGCCTGAGTACAGCTGCTGGGGCAGCTGCCGAGGACAGCCACAGCCCGCACACAGCCAGGCTGGGGAGGACAGACACTAGCAGCTGGAGAGACATAGGAAACCCCCAGGCAGGCAGACACTCCAAGAAGGCAGGGGATGGGATGCCATGGCTGCAGGAGGGGGACAAGCCAGGCTGCTCCCTGTGGCATTCGCTAGCAGCTGAGCAACCCACCTGCTGACCCCCTGCAAATGCTGGGCTGCCAGCTGCTGGGGCCAGCGGGGAAAGGACCCACCAGCTGCTGCTTGGGGAGGGCACCTGTCACCCCAGAGCCAGGCGGGGGTGTGCCCTACAATGGGGCCTGTGTGCACCATGGGGCTTGCAGTTGGGACAGTGCTGACAGCTCCCATACTACCCAGAAGGAAGGTTGGGCCCAGCCACACCCAGGCTGGGCCGAGCCATGCTGGTGGGGCAGAACTACCCAGTTTCCATGGGCCCCAAGCCCCCACACACCAACGGCCTTCCTGCCCCTGTACACTGGCTGTGTCAGGCCCCAGCCACTCTCCACCCCACGCTGGGGACTTCCACCAGCTAAGACTGGGACACCCCGTTGTATAAATCATTACCAGCTGAGCCCCTGTCCAACAGAGCTAGGTTTATTGCCCCGAGCACAAAGAGAGGAAGCGGGCCTGCCAGGTGGGCAGGAGTGGTTATTGCTGCAAGCATGGCCTCCAGAGACGCAGGCCTGGGAGCGGCTAAGGGCCTGCCTGCCTTGGCTGGGTCTGCACCCACTGCCATGCTGGAGCCACCCTCTCATCCACAGGAACAGATTGGGGGTGAGGAGTGTGGAGAAGTGCAAATATATTGGCACAGGAGCACATCTGTGCTGAGTGAAGGAGCCCGAGGGCTTTAGGGATCATAACAGGGTGAAAGGAGGGGGAAGAGAGGAAAACAGATGACCGTGTACTGGAGAAACGCCTCCCACCCATCAACACCACTCCTTGGCCCAATTCCACTGTGGCAGCAGGAGGTGAGGCCATGACAGCCCTGGGGAAAGGCTGTAGTGGTATGGCTGTGCGTGCACAGGATAAGAGGAGCATGATGGGATGTGCTACATAGTGGCATGTGGCAGGAGAGTGCTCAAATGATAGGCTTTGGCCTTATGGTGGGACAAAGCGGGGCAGAGAGTGAGGGGAGAGTTTGAAGGCCACGCAGAAAGAGGTTGCAGCAGGATGTAATGAACACCAGCGTCCTGACCAGCTGCAGCTCCATGCTTTGGTCATGTTTAGTGCTGATGAGTGCAAGGCAATGGCATTAAGTGTGCACCTTCTCACCCTGGCTCCCCATGAACCAGCTGCCCTGCCTAAGCAAGGCAGCATCTGCTGATGCTCCCTGGGACAGGTAGCACATGCCACAGGGGATGAGACAGCACTGAAACAAGCAAAACAAGTCCTCCTCCTCTTCCCCTCCACAGTTCCCACCTCTCCCTATCGGGTGGATAGCCCCCAGCCTGCTCCTGTGCTTGTTTCTATGCAGCTGCCCCAAAGCTACGTGTGCAGTGACCTACAGACTGCTTGCCCTCCTTCTCTTCTGGGGTGGGACAAGAGGAGGAGAAGGGTGGAAAGCAAGCCCAGCCCAGAAAAGGAGAAGGGCAGCCCCTGCCTGCCTTGACCTCTGTGAAATGCTCCATGGGTGAGGGTGGAGCAAGGCGTGCTGAGAGGCAGGGCTGGTGGCTCAGCATAGGATGGAGCAAGAGAGGGAGATTATCCTGTGTCCATGGACCTGAAGGGAGGCACTTGGAGGTGGCCTGGCCTGCCGGAGTGTCCTAGTCACAGCACATCTGTCCTGGCTCCTAGCCACACATTGTCAGCAGCAGCCACTGCAGAGAAGGAAGAGTGAGGATGAGCAGGGGCTAGTATACACAAACCCAAAGGCCATCTGAGAACAAGACTTCCCTTTCCCATCTCGCAATCTTTTACACCCACAGGGCTGGAGGGCACTCTAACACCCACCCCACATGTCCCATCCACCTTAACATCTTCCCCCCTCATCTCCATCCTACCTCAAGGCACCGAGCTCTCACCTCAGCGAGGTTCATGACGGCAGTGCCAGTGCCATCAGGATCCATGCTACGGAAGAACCCTGCAGGGCACAAGGGCAAGGTGAGCAACATGTCCTTCTGTCCCTGCCCTCCCCAGCCTGGAGCAACACTCACTGAACATTGTCTCCAACTTCACCAAGCAGCAGACAAAGTTGTCGAAGTCCACACCCGTCTCAGCATCTGCATAACGGGCAACCACCACCTGATGCAACTTGTTATTCAGCTTGAAACCTGAAAGGCAGAGAGTACCTAGCACCTGCAAGAGGTGGGAGAAGATGCAACTACCAAAGATCATGTTCTCACCAGAAGGGGCCAACACCCCACCCAAGGAAGGCCACTGAATCCAGCCTTGGTAGGAGTAAAGGATGCTCTCCCCGGAGCTATAGCCCATTGCCAAATGAATGTTAGCTCACTGACCTGACTTAGCCAGGATGGACTTCACAGGTCAGATGAGGATGGCTGGGACAACCTTGTATTTATCCCAGCTCGGAGGATGCCAGCAACAAGCAAGGATCAGTTGGAGAGAACCCAGCTTACATATGGGCCTCATCTCATGACAGATTGGCTCAAAGCTCACAATGTAGGCTGGTTCCACAGTTCTCTTGCTACTTGGGACGGCTCCTACAACTTTCCTCCACCCTCAGCCCAGCCCCATCCTTTCTAGACTTACCAGCTGACTCTAGAGCCATGCGCATCTCGTATGAGCTCATGGTGCCTGACTTATCCAGGTCATACTGGCGGAAGATTGTCTGCAAAAAACATCACAGAGGATGTGAATGACAGGCCCTCCCTGCAGCTTGGTCCTCCCCCTGCCCAAGAGAGGTGCTACCCCTTGCATCCCTCTCCTCCTCACCAGCCAGCTGCGGATCTTGTTCCATAGGATCTGGAACTCCACCAGCCCCAGGCGGGCACTGCCATCTTTCTGGACAGCCGAGGGTTAAGGAGAAAGCAGCCAGCAAAAGGGTGGAGTAGCTGAGCAGGCAGAGAGTGGCAAAGCAATCAGATCCTGGGTACTTTCAAGGAGAAGAAGCACTTCAGCCAGGCCAGCTCTTTTTCAAATTCCCTCCCCATCCTGCAGCATAGGCTAGATCAGAGCCTGCAGGCCAAAAGGGAAAGTTCAGTGCTTAAAGCAGCAGCTGTGCAGCTCCCCAGTAACACCAAACTTTGGCACAATGCTGCCATGCAGCAAACAGGATGCGAGGACATATCTGGAAAAGAGCTCAGAGCAATTTCTCTATGCTTGCCTTCCAACTGCACATCCTTGTGCAAGCTGGAACACAACCCATTGCTCCTGTTACTTTATACCTCATCCTCAATCATAGGATGATTTGGGGGGAAAGAACCCCAGCACCCTTCTTCCTCCACCAAGAATGCTTTTAGCCTGGATGGTCTCACAGCATGCCACACTAGGGTGAAGTGTGGGTGCTGGCTGCTGCATGTGAACCCACGGGGAAGTGAAACACTGGGCACCTGCTGCCAGCTGCCATCCTAAAGCAGCCTCAGTGCAGCCACAAGGACCCTTTCTGCCCTTTTCTCAGTTGCACAGCCTTGGCACAACTAGAGAGCAGAGCCCTAGTTCCCACGGAGGAGTGTCCTGGCTGCCAGGCTGAGCGCCAGGAATGGCAGCCCCTGCCCACAGTGCCAAGAGGATACATCCATCAGGTTGACCATGTTGCGGCAGGAGTCCAGACTGAATCCATCCGTCTTCAGATCTTTGTCTGAGGAGGAAGGAGGAGGGGGATCATGTGCATCAAAGCACAACCTGCAGAACCGGCCGGAGCTACAGGGGAAAAGGGCAGCACTCACGTCTAGCGATCACTCTGTTCAGAATCGTCTTGAGCTCAAAGACGCTGATTTCCATGTCCTGCAGTTGGAGCAGAGTTAGTAGAACATCTTGCCTCCCCCCAGCCCTGTAGGGGTAGCTGAGCTGAATTTCAGCATTTACTGCTGTGCAGGGCAGGGATGAGGCACACTATGGGCTGGAGCTTGCTGATGGGAGAGACAGAGCCCTGGGAAATTTTGAGAGCCCCCACAGAGCCCCTGCTCTGTGCACCTCTGACAATGAGTGGTTTGATCCCCTCCCTGCACCCCGGACCTGCCATGAGCTTTCCAGGGCTTGGCACAACTGTACCCACCTCCCCTGCCAGCTGCTGGAACATGTTCTTGAAGCCATCCTCAATGTCATCCTCGGTAATTTCCTCCTGAGGCCAGAAAGAGAGATTAGTAATCAAAGCCAGGCATTGCCCTGCCTCAGAGGCTCAACAAATATTTGAGCCTCTCAGAGTGAAGCTCCTCTCACTTTCACTCTTTCTCACATCCCTGTCTATCACAGTAACCCAAGCCCATGCAGCCACCTCCTCCCCCTCCTCAGCCCCAGACCCAGCTAAAGGAGACTGGTAGCCCCTACCTCATCTGCCAGGTCTGCAGAGATCTCCTCGTCCAGCTCCCTGGGAACAGAAAGATGGGGGCACACAGTGATGGGAGAGCAGTGGAATCTGCTCTAGCACTCACCAACACATGTGATGGCCTGAGCCAACACATTCCTTAACTATGCAAAGGGCTGGGATGTGGCAGAAGGCTTTGTGGTGGAGACTCACGCTGTGTCTGACTGCTTCTCGGTGAAGACCCGCAGGATGAAGTCAGCCTCCTTATGTGGCTCAAAGGTGGAGGGCACAACGATGTACTCGCCAGGGGGCAGCCGGATCTGGTTGCTCACTTCCCTCAAGTTGATGAAGGTCTCAGAGCGTGCCCGCGACTGGTTTCGCAGGAAGAAGTCCTTCTTCAAGTGCACATTCTGACTGCCCTGGGCCTGGAGAACACACTGTTGTAGGGAACAGCCCAGCAAGAAGAGAACCCACAAGGAGCAGTGGGACCAAGCAAGTGTCATCAGCCCACAGCCCAAGCATCTCTGCTGGAACAGCTTCATGGTCCCATTGCATCCCTGCCCAGTGGCTGCCTGTGGAAGAGCTCTTGTTGTCCTGCCTAGCACGGACCATCCCTTCCACACAGAGGTACTTAGCACCCTTTAGCACCCCAACCATTGCCAGTCTGGTGGAAATTCCACGCCACGGGGCACATGCATGCAAACATGCCTGTGGGTTTGCATCAACCCATTCCTGCCCACTCCTGTGCTCCCCTCAAAGAGGCGGATGGGTCTGGTGGCTCAGGACGTACCTCCTCAGGAACCTGCAGGGAGGAGAGAAGAAAGAAAATCAGAGTGCCAGTGCTGGGGTTCTATCTCCAATGGCAGATGGAAGGGGTGACGCTGACCCACAGATTTGCCAAATCAGGTGGGAAAGGATTCCCTGAGGACTACGGTGCCAAGTCCACATGGGATCGGCAGGGCTGAGCCAGTCTCAAAGAAGCAGCATTGGGATTGGGGTTACCTCGTAGACGGCAAAGCCGATGGTATGCATGTCGCCCCCTACTCGCCGCTCCCTCCTACGATGCTTCTGCATCAGGGCCACCAAGAAGCTGCAGGCCACCTCGTCATCCCCAGGATCATCATCCTCTTCCAGCAGCTTGATCTTAAACTGGGGATTGATCCAGAACGTGGCTGGAAAGAAGAAGATGTGGATGATACACCTGGCTGAATCACATCACCGAGAGTGGAGATGCGGGAGATACCTGGGTTGTTCCTGCAGCCCCCAGCAGTGCTCCCTCGGCGCCACGTGCCCTCGAACACCTGTGTGTGCCACCTGCTGAGCTCATCTTTGGTGAGGGCATCGGGGGTTAGGTTGCAGATCTCCAGCCTGGAGAACTCCCTCATGAAGTCCCGGAAGGACATCCTGTGGGAAGCAGGCAGGGGCTGAGGTCAAGACATGGCTGAGGAGTTCAAGCAGCTCTGGATTCAGCCACAACTGCCTTTGCTAGGTGGAGAGAGATGGAAATCATCCCAAAGCCCCTTCTCATGGAAGCAAGCTGACTGCTGGATGCCCTGTTGTGGAACAGGACTTATATGGGCCAGGCTGCCTCTGGTGCAGTTGGAACCCACCAACTCTTTCACCCTAAGTCTTGAGGAACCAAAGCAATGACATTCAGGTGGAAGAAAAGCAAAAAGGCACCATCGCAGTTATAGGTGGCCTTGGGATGGGGTGCCAGGGGGCACAAAAGCCAGGACTACTGGCAGGCAGTTTGTCTAGGTGACACATGCTGAACAACTTCAGCCTACCTACCACAGTGGGTGACAGGGATCAGAGCAAAGAAAGGGCTCCTTCTGTCAATCTCCCATCTCCAGTGGTGGCCAGCAGTGGCAGAGGAAGCAAATCAGACCCAGCATCACCTCAACATCCAGCAACACAAGACCTGCACTTGAGGCTAGCTCAGACCATCAGTTTTATAGCCTCCCAGGATCTGGATCATCTGAGCAGTCACACTTTGAACTTACAAAACAACCTTGCAGTGCAGACTCCCACATCAGACTTCCAACATTTACCTAAGCTTCTGCTTGCTCATGACCCTTTTGCTCTGGTGGTTTCAGAAGAAAAGAAAAAGCTTCTTTCTGCTCACTCTGCATTTCCAGTTCCTTCTAAAGTACTCAGGTTCCCCTTTCAACTACCTGACAACTACACAAAGCCAGGGCCCAACCAGCCTTCGGTGAAGAACTTTTTACTAATATTCAACCTATTAACTAGATCAGATAAGAAAATGTTACCAGACTTTCTAGCAGCGGAATAGCTAATAAAGGCAGGTCGTGTTCTGGGGCAACTGCAGGTTCTTTTTCAGGCTCTCCTGCTCACTTCCAAACTGGATGCTGAAGAAGAGCAGCATTTTGCTCTGGCACTCACCAGAACTCGCCATCCTCCATCTTCAGTTGCAGCTCTTCTCTGTCGCTGGGGTCAATGTTGTCCCACTCGGAAGAGCTGGAATAGCCAGAGGAAAACAATTAGATGAGAAGTACTCAAGGTGAGCTGAGACATTTCCAGTGCTACGCAGTTTGCAGTAGGCCCTCAAAAGACCCATTCCACACTGTGAAGGGAACAGCATGCTGTAAACTCCCAATCAGCAGCGCTGTGCAAGAGGTGTCCCAACTGTTTCAGTGGCAGTGCCCGTGGCTCACTGAAATCCCACCTGAACTCACCCATCACTCCAGGCTCCAGTCCACTCCACCTGACCCCAGGGGTTTCTGATACGGATGAGCTGTTCCTGCTGACCCCGGTAGTTCACCTGCCAGCCACCAAATGCAGGAAGTCAAACCATAGGCCACAGCATTTTACCTCTATTACAGTCTTATGTACCCAACTCACATCTTTGAAAGCTGTGACAGAATAGGCATGGCCCTTCACCAGCTTCTTGAAGGTCACTGCTTCCATATCAAAGGCACTTGTGATCTGAAAAGAACGTGCAAACCTCAGGTGAATACGATTCATGTAGTTCTGTTCCCTTACCCCTTCTCAGAGGAGGCTGACACATTGCAAGGGCAATTTCTCTTTTTTTTTTTTTTTGCAATGTTCCAGTCAGGAGCACTGAAGATTCATTGTGAAACCACTCAAACTTCAAAAAGCATAAGAAAATGTTATTTTGTGCTTCCCAAAATAGTATTTTCACTAGGAGCACAGAGATAGCATCCTCATCAGTTGCAAAAAACAGCTTACACATCAGTCGTGCGGATACACAGTGTTGGGAGCAACGGTCTCTTTAGCACAAGTATACCCCAGCCACACACTCAATGCAGGCAGCAGCATTTTGTGTTTGTTACTACTCTGATTTGCCAATCCAACAGGTACTGCTGTCAGTGGTGACAGAGAGGGAGCACTCTGTTGTTTGTGGCTAAGAGGGAGAGGACGGAAGCGCCCAGCCTAGCTAACATGCAGATACTGATGCAGCCAGAGCTCTATGCAGAGCCTTGTTCAGCAGCCTGGCTTCAGATAGATGTTTCCCATTCCATCAAAACAAGACCATTCCAAGTCACTAAGATACAGCCCCATGCCCTTCATCGGTTCTGGGAAAGGTGCTCTGCCAAGAGGTGAAAGAAGTCCCCTCCCATCCAGCGTCCCAGCAAAATGACCACCTTGGGTTGGGAGGAGGGCTGTGAGGCCTCACTTTGGCCATCACTGGAGGAGAAGACATTCACAGTTCACTGTGAAGAGCAGCGCAACACTTACGTCGATGGAGCAGCCCAGCAGGGAGCCCCTCTCCAGTGCCTTGCGGATGATGTGGCCCATGTTGCGCGGTGCCCGCTTGAGGTCATACATCTCTGCTACGCCGCCAGTGAAATCCTCAAAGCCCTCAGTGGTGCTGCCCCCCGAGAGCGACTCGTAGCAGCCGTTCAGCCTGAGCACCGGGCAGCGAGAGTGGAACGTGAGGTGACGAGGGCACACAGTGCTGCTGCTCCGCCCCACCCCCCAGCAATTTTGTGCCCCCGGTGGTGGGACTCACTTGGCATAGGCCTTCTCCAGCAGAGCGCTCCAGAACTCCGTGCACTCCGCTGAATGCACAAACAGGAGCTCCCCATCCTTGGTGGGCAGCAGGTCGTCCACCACCACGTCCACCCACTCACCGAACTGCCAGATCTAGGGGGAAGAAGGGGTGAGTGGGACAGGGCATCGCCCTAAGGGATGCCCCCAGGCAGCTCATCCTGCCCCCAACCCACCAGCTGTGCAGAGCCACAAGCTCCCAGCCTACCTGGAAGTGGAAGATGCCAGCGTAGTCCTCTTGGAAGCTCTGCCCATGAGGCACCACACGGTGCAGGAGCTCCTCGTTGAGAGTGAGGGAGCCAATGGCAGCCAGCAGCCAGCAATCACCTGGCGAAGGAGAAGCAGCTTAGCCAGCAGTGGTGATGGGTGCTGGGCCGTGCAGAAGCCCCTGGTATGCTCTCCCTCTGAACAAGGTGCTGGGTCAGAAGGGAGGCCAGCAGGGAGGTGGAGTTCTCCTCTGCACGGTGCCCTGCACTGGGCTCAAAAAACAAGTGGAGAACCTGGGGAGGAGTCAATGCCCCTTCCTCCTAGCCCACATAGTATAATGGCAGGTGCCTGGACAGAAGCATTAGCTCAGGGCAGAGAAGGAACAACCTTCTGTGACCTGCTGTCTGCGTCCAGGCCACTGTGACAGCATCAACAGCCACTCCTGCAGTCATTTACCCAGAGCCTCCTGAATGCTCCTGGCATCTCAGGACAGTGACTTTTGTAATGCAATTACACTTCTCATTGTAATAAAAGTTTCTCTTTGTTTTCGGTCACCAAGCAAGAGGCTTAATGCTGGTGCCTTGGCTTCAAGTTCCAAGAGATAACACTGCAATTTTCCTTCCAAGTGCTATTAACCACAAGTGCTGGTCTATGCCAGCAGTGTTTTTTCCATTCTTTGCCTTGGTTCTCCTTTCTCCTCTTTTAAATCCTGTCATACATTAGCCTTGAGCCTGGATAACCTGCGCTGGGCTGTGGTTGACAAAATGGCATTTCAAATCTTGCCCTCCTAATGACCAATTGAGAAATGCCACAGTGCCCCAGGCTGTTAACATGCTCCAGTTACCACCACAGTCCTGAAACCAGTCTGCTCTGCTAAGGTGCACAACATTCTCACCTTGATACAGGTCAGGAAACACTGCTGATGGCAGCCAGATCTGGTTTTGGTGATCACTGACTTGCAGTTCCCAGTTTTGCCAGACTACCCGACCCACTAACACTTCTCTCCTTGTCTCAGTACCTGTACTACTCCATTTCTGTGAGGCCCTTAGCATAGAGCCACCAGTCAAAATACCTCCTGCTGCCGTACAGCTTCCACCACACTACATGAGGAGGGAGTTTGAGTACAGAGATGGTTGCGCACAGGCTGGCAAGAAAACACACCATGAGGATCTGCAGAAAGATGCTGTGAACCCTGTCCACTCAGCACCTTCCCTACACAAATGTCTCTTCTCCAAGCACGCTGATCCTCCCCAGCTGTTGCTGCTCTCTAGATCAAGGTTTGGGGACAGAACTCCAGCACTCACCCAGAGCTCCCTGGCAGATATCTGTCCGGGTTGCACCACCAACGATGAACTGAGGATCATCCACTAATTCCTGCATAAGGAGAGAATCAGGCATTGGATTTCAGCAGCACCTGTAGTCATTGTAGCTCTGACTCAAGGGAATGGAAGTATCATCCCTGAGATGCACCCATCCTATCCTCTACCAGGGAAAATTGCTTGACTGCAACATCAAGGCCATCACAGGAAGGCAAGGCAAGATCTTCTTCAGCACGAAATGGCTAGATGGACATTGCCTCTGCACTCATGGCACCAAAGGATGCAAAACTCCCATGTCCTGAGCCAATAGCCCCAGTCACCGAGGGTGACACACCTATGCTGGGACATCCAGAAGCAATGGCACAACTCTCCCATTGTAAAGCCATACGTGTACTGCCCGGAGGGAGAAGGGTGTGCTATACACAATGCTCTTTGAGTACTCAGTGAGTATTCCTCTGGGCAACAAAGCATGAAAGGAACTTTAAGCACAGCAAGAAGCAAACAGAAGCCAAGCTGCAGCTTGGCACACCACATTAATGCAGACACTGCAGGCGAGGGACGTGAGCCCAGCACTTACCGATGGACGCTTCCACTCCACGCCCCGCGTCTTGCTGGAGTATGGCCCCAGCTCCTTGAAGCCGAGGGCAGTGGGGCCAGCTGGGAACTGGGGGTCCCTGAAGAGGACACCACTCTCGATGCACTCTTGCTTGAGGGCTTCATAGTCCTGGTTGAGGTACTTGATAGCATTGTTGTGATCACCGACCCCCTCGGCTCTCAGGCGGTCCCTTTGCAGCCGGGCAGCGATCCCCCCAAAGGGCATCATAGCTGGGTACTGGCACCGCTACCTCCACCTCTGTGTCCTGCAATGAAACGGGCACTGTGAGGCTGGGGCTGGGCACGGCCTGCCCTTAAAAGCATCCCTGGGATGGGAAGACGCACTGTGAGGATCTAGGGCTGGGAAGGCCTCCCCAGCCCCCATGCCCGGTGTAGACAGTGGTGCCTTTCTGATCAGAAGCAGGCCATGGCCTCCAGCCCAGCCGTCACGCTCCCAGTGCCTTCAGGGAAGCTGAATGAGTGGAGCTTTGACAGCGGGCTGGAAAGAAATAGTCTGCCAGCTGCTGTGCAGAGCCTCCCCATTCCCTCTGCACATGAGCATTGAGTGAAGAGGAATTCCAAACCCTTTCTGCCTCTGAAAATCAGTTCTTCCAGCTGTATGCCTTGCCGCTAAGCCTATTTACAGGGACAGCTTTCTGGTCACCGGCACCTTCCCTATCCTACTGGCCTGATGAGCATAAGCAGCTGCAGGGCTGCTTCTCTCCTAGACAGCCGCCCACGGCTGCCCAAGCACTGAGTCAACAAGACGGGAAGGGAGGAGCCCTCCGGGGAGCAGAGGCAGCTCTATCTGTGGGGCGCTGGGAAGGAAAAGGCGTGACAGCCCTTCCCCAGAGCACAGGGTGACTTGACTCAAGCCCAGGAGCAGGACTATGCAGCCTGCCTGTCCCAGCTCCTGCTTGTAAAGCCACATGCCCCAGAGGTTTGGTAGCACAAGACAGCAGAGCGACCCTTGGGTGAATGACCCATCTGCTCTCACTCTGCTACAGCCAGCAACACCCAAGAGCAGTGGTGGGGATGGTAGCGCTGGCCTGCTGCCTGCCCAGCACCCTGGCTCTGGAGAGGCCTTTGCCTGTCCCAAAACGGTGCAGTAGCCATGGGAAGGCAGGTAGCACAAAACAGGGTGCAAGCTCTTGAGCTGCTGTGCTGTGCTGCTCGTGGGCTACAGACATGGCTGCTAATCTCAACGCCTGTCCTCATCAGCTTTCCAGAAGGAACATCTGCTCCACTCCACCACTCCTATCCCAAAGGCGGTCTCAGTCCCTCGTCTTTCCTCCACAACAGTCCCAAACCTATGGAACTGCCAACTCTGTGCCTCTCACTTGACTCCTGCTTGGCAACCAGGACGCTGCCAGCAAGGTGCATGTTTCCTCAAGACCAGTGGGGCGACTCCTCCTGACTGCTGCCAGCAGGGCCACAGAACAAGGAACCCAAGCACAGCACCCAGCCTGACGGTGAGGGGAATCCCCGTCCCTGCAACCTCCCCTCATGGTGCAGCCCCAGGCAGGGCCGCAGCACAGAGCCGTGCACAACCGGGCTGTGGCACCAGGCTGGTTATTCTTAGCCCTTTTACTCAGAGTGCCTGGGCAGCGCCTGGGTGGCAGGCGGAGGTCACACGAGCGCAGGGCACGGGAAAGCGTCGCAGACCACAGGGAGGGACTGGAGTTGTGCGGGACATCGGGCAGCAGAGTGAGGACGGACGATGGGAGGGGGCTTCCCCACGGAGACGCTGATGGATGCCGAGGGCACACGGCAGGCAGGAGGAGGTGCACAGCCAAGCAGGGGAGAGCCGAGCTGCAGGACGGCTTTCCGTGCGAAGCGACATCCAGACGCAACATGACGCGGCGCTGGAGGCACCCGACCCCCCACGTTTGGGGCACTGCGACACGCCGGTCCACGCAGAGCCTCGGACAACGCCGCCCGCAATCTCTGCAGGCTTCTAGCCGCTCTCGGCGGGGACCTATCGCCAGCAATACCCGCGCCCCGAACCTCGGACCCCGCAGCCCGACGGGTCGGGTCCACAAGCAGGCCCGGCCCCAGGCCTCAGCTCCGCGCCCGAGGGCAGGGCGGCTCCCACGCGGCCGGGCGGGGCAACGCGCCCCGGAGCCCCGCAACGGAACGGGACGGGACGGATCAGCCCCCGGGGCCTCCCGCAGCGGGCCCACGGCGCAGAGGAGGGAGGGAGAGGAGGGCTGGACACTTACCGTTCGCCCGGCGCGGAAGCCGCCGCCGCCCTGCCCGGCTCGGCGCAGCGGAGGAGGGGTTAGTGCGGGCAGGATGTGCGGGCGGCCCGCGGGCAGGGGGAGCTCCGGGCTGTTAAAGGCGCAGAGGCCGCTCAGCCCGCTGCTCCCCGCTCGCCCCGCAGCGCCCTGCCGCGCGGAGCCGCCCCGCCGTGACTCAGCGTGCCGCTATGCGGGGCGGCGCCGCCCGCAGCTCCGGGCTCGGCCGCTACCTGCTGCCCTGCCCACCCCCCGAGCGGGGCGGCGGGATGCGCTCGGACCGGCGGATTTGTGCCCCGAGGCCTCTGTCCGTGCCCGGATCGCTGAGCTAGCCTTCGTCCCGACCCTCTCAGCTCCGGCCGTGCCTCCTCTCTCATCCTGTCCCCGCTCCATCGCCTCTCCACGGCCTTTTAAGCTGCTTTCAGAGCTCCGCTGTAATCCTTCCGCGGAGGCCGCCCCGTGTCGCGCCCCGTGCTTGTGAGCAGCTTCCTTTCAAGCCCTTGCCACCTCCCCGAGCTTTCCCTCCCCGCCATACCCACAGGAACGTGTCAGCAGGTGCTGCACTCGCTCTTGTCTCCCAGTACCCCTTTGTGTGTTCCCGTGCTGCCCCTTCCCCGTCCACCGGATGCGAGCTGCCCCAGAATTCCTACCCGCAGGAACGAGGGCTGTCAGTGCCCGGGTGAAACGGAGTGAGGTGCTGAGGTCAGAGCCGGGCTAGCCCACACCTTGCTGGGACAGGCAGCAGCCGCTTACACAACTCAACCAGTGGGTTTGGCCAGAGGCCAGGCCAGGGCCCTGGCTGCCTGGGAACAGCCCTGCTGCTGCTCCATGCTTTACAGACAGCAGACCTGCTGCAAGCAGCAAAGCCACCGAAGGCAGCTGCTCAGAGCTCTAAGATGGGATTTCCCCCTCCCCGCCACGTTCCCCCTCCTGCTCTGTTCCCAAACCATCCTTCCCCTGTTTTAACAGAGGCAGCTCAGAGTATGAGGCCTGCTCCCCACCCCTGTGCTGTTGGCAGCATGTCAGAAAGCAGGACACACAGGGGGGCATGCAGCCCCCTCCACCGCGGTAGTAGCACGCATGCTCCCACACCCGATTGCAGCCTCCCCTCCACTGCCACACACAGACAGACTGAAAGAACAATAGCTCTTTTTTTTTCTTCCTTTTTTTCTTTTTCCTCCTTTTGTACACAAATATATACAGGGTATTATACACATCTCTACACAGACAGTGCCAAACCCAACCCAGCCCCCTGTGAGCAGCATCTCAGCAGCAGGGCTGGAGCACCCAGCCAGCCTCAAGCCTGCATCCCAAGGTAGGGGCATGGACACAGACCACCAACCAACACCGTTGAGCCTTTTCCTGCAGGAGACTTGTGTTACAAGTATTGTGCCTCTCCCCATTTCTATGTGCTCTATCTCCACCACTCCAGGACCCACAATTCTTCACCTCTGCCCCACTTTCCTCTGGGCTTGGGGTCCTATAGAGGGAGGTAGAGGAAAGGCATCTCCATCCTTCACACAGCAGCCCTGAAGAGCGGAATCCACTCCTCTAAAGGAGAGCAAGAGGGAGAAAAGCCAGTGCCCGTGATCACCTTTCTCCACAGCAGAATGCTTCAGTTGTTCAGGTCCATAAAGTGCTTTGAGCTCCAGGGCCTGTGTTGGTGATTGGAAAGGTAAATGACTGTCCCTTCCTCCTGGTCTGAGGGAGCCCAGAGGGTGGCTGGGTCCAGCTCCAGAGACCAGAGCACACCCACAAGGGGCAGAGTGAAGGGAGCAGTATCAGCAATGAGCACCAAAGAGGATGGTGGCAGGGGTTGAGGGAAATAAATATAGCTCAGTAGCAGGGAGATTATTTTTCCTTTACATTTTACACAAGGGGAGGGAGAAAGCAATTAAGAGCCACTGATGCTAACCAGAAACTTCCTCACAAGAACCTCCAAGCAGGAGTGCCAGGGGGCTCATCTGCCTCTCCTGCCTGCGCTCAACTTCAGACAGTCCAGGCCCCTCTCCCAGTCCTTCCCTCCCTGCCCAGGACACAGCCATCACTAGAGAGGGGACAAAGTCAGAGGCAAGGAAGCAAGAGCCCTGGGCAGGTGAAGCAGCCCAACGCTGCATGTTGCTGAGGACGCTATGATCCAGACCCCTTTCTCCCCTCTCCATAGCACCCAGCAGCTCCCCAGTACAGTGCCCCCGTGCCTAGCCTTGCTCCGTAGACACCGGGCAGCAGAGAGGACTGCAGTACCACACAGAGGTCAGGTTGATTTGTGTTTGAAAGAGAAGGAAAATGTGCAAAAAATGCCACTTAAAATGATGCTGCAATCCCCCACCTGTGCATGTGGGGAAGGAGGGGGATGCACTTATAGGGGAGAGGCTGCCTGCGCCTCCTGCCTGTGAGAGCACCTTCAGCACCCCCCACCCAGTGAGGGGCTGCTTTGTGCTGCTCTCCTGGGTTCAACCAGTCTCCACAGCCCAGCACACAAGGGAGAAGAAGAGGGACACCATCCTCACCCCCTAATGCCCAGGACATCACACCCAGGGGATGCCACAAGAGGCTGAGTGAGGAACAGGGGAGAAGGGAAGGCAGCACTACTTGGGCACGTGGCACAAAGCCACCCCATCTTCCAATACACTGATTAAAGCTTTTTGTTCATCATCTTCCTGTAAATCTAATAAATTAGTGTTTGCATTCCTTGCCAGGAGGACAGGGGACAGAGGGAGCAGTTGAGGAAACACTAGAGGAGCCCCTCGACCTGAGACCCCTACATAAAGCACCCAGCCTCCCTCCACTCCTGAGGTGCTGGCAGGGTCACGGTCTCCCTCCTCCTCAGCCTCTAGGGGTTTACAGTCTGGGTACACATTAACCAAGGTAGCGAGTGAGGAGCAAGCCCGCAGAGGGGCCAGGCAGCACAGCAGTAGGGGCAGGGAAGTGGAGAGCTGGCAGCAGGGCCCCTGCCCTCGCTGAAGGTAGTGGCCCTGGGGGTGGGCGAGAGTAGCGGCTGGCCCCCTCAGCTCTGTGCTCCCTTCGCTTTCTCTCTCCCGGTTGCAGCGGGCGCAGCCTGCCCTGCTCCTGGGACTCCATCCCTTCCCTCCCTCCTGCCCTCCCTCTGCAGTCCCTACTGGCGGATCTCATTCTCTATCAGGCTGTCCTCACACGACTGGAAATCCGTGTCATTCATGCCATCAGTAGTGATGAGCTCCTCATCCTGTGATCCCTGCTCCTCCGACTCAGTTGCTTCGCCCTCTGGGGAGGAGTCCTGCAGCACTTGGGCGATATACTTCTGAAAGAGCAGGGGTGAGGAGGGGAAAGAAGAAACACTCATAAGTCTGCAGTGCTTCCTGCAGCCCAGGGATTAAGCAGAGCTCAAGGAATGAAGCACTGTTCGGGGAAAAGGTCAGGTGTTGGACATGTTGGGAGGGTATGGATGGGTTTCACCCCAGATGGGGAGAAGGAGAACAGCATCACAAAACCTAAAGATTCTGAGTAAGAAGGGAGACCGGCCCAGATGGATTCGTTGCCCTAGCCAAGAGAGAGAGGCAGAAAGTACATGTATAGCATTCAAGGAGAAGGAAATGAGTGCATGTGGGGGAGTTACAATTCATATATAATGCAATTCATCACCCAATGTAGGTGAGGAACACAGAGCCCAACACTTGCTTCCTACTCTCTTTGAGAGACTTTGGGTACTGCCTCAAAAAGGTAAGGAGCAAGGTATTTGAGCAAGAAGGAAAGACTTGCAGGTATTATCTCCTCTTTCTTAAACCCAGGTAAGGAGCATACCAGGGCATGGACATGGACATGGGGACTCACAGCGGATTTGGGAGCTGGTAGGTTGGTGGCAGGTCTCCCGTTCTGCCTGCTTTCTGTGGCATCCACCTCTGTGTGCTCAATCTGGAGAGGAAAGCAGAAATGCAGAGAATGCCAGGATGATACAGCTGCAGGAGCTGCATTCCAGTGAGACTGTCCCCAAATTCTCAGTGGGTATGGGAGCAGCATACACATGGCAACGATGGCATACAGCTCCAGACTGCTTTGGGAACTTTCCCCATGGAGCTAACACTCTGCCAAGGAACAGCCAGAGACATCCCCCCCACTGCCCTAAATCCCCCTATGTCACTGATTAGCTGTGCTCCCAAGGGAAGGTGCTCCCATACCCTTGAGCCCCTGCCCACCATCCCACCTCACCTTGTAGTTGTGAGCACTGAGGTATTTGAAGTGCCCAAAGCAGACATGACATAGGCAGATCACAATGGTGATCACAAGAACCACAAAAGTGAACATAGAAGTTGGGGCCAAGAACCCTGAGATGAAGAGAAATCAGTGTTAGGGTGCCAAAGCCTAAAGAGATGGTGTGGTGCTGCTAAGAGGCAGCAGCAGCCAGGGGAAATGCTCAGCTAGACACTTCCCAGCCTAGCACTTACCTGTACGCATAGTGGAGAAGAAGAGAAGCCAGAAGAGGCATAAGATGGGGGCTGCCACTACTTGGTTCACAGCACCGGAATGGATCTTCTTGTCCAGTTTGGCAGGCAGGTAGGCGTAGTACAGATTGTAGCGGTCCACCAGGTGCTTGAGCAGCATATACATGAGCCCTGAGGGAGAGGTGTCAGAAAAGGGCATTGACCTTTCTCCCAGTGCCTCCAGACAAGAGGAAATACTTCCCGTGCAGAGGCAAAGGGCTGTCACTCACCAAAGGGGACAATGATGGGGCAGGTGATGCTGTAGGTCATGACCACAGTGAATACACACATCATCCACGCGTAAGCGGCCCCAAACTGGAACTCGTAGGCCTGGTGCTGCAGGGGAGAGCAGAGACCTGCATGTTTTTTTTACCCTGAGCAGGGTATAAGACACCCAGCACTTGGCAAGCCCCAGAATGCACAGCCCCCACCGCAGCACCCTCAGCCCTGGCTGCAGGCCATTACCCTCCCCAGCACCACCACTTACTCGCTTGACGTTTCTCCGTTCAGCGGCTGAGCGGGCCAGGCAAAGGCGAATCATGTACATGAGCAAGCCGGGGATGCGCAGCAGGTCCATGGCATTCCCAATGAAAGCAGAGGCGATGACGTAGTTGACAAAGAAGGCCCCGTTGTCTGGCAGGAACACGCACCTGGGAAGTGGCGATGAGAGCAGACTGCAGGAGATGCTCCCG